ATGAAATAATGCACGATTCTATGCTGGTCACAAATAACCCGCATACCAATTGTTAGCTTTCCACATTGAAAATTCCAAAATACCCCATACAAACTTTCACCTCTGTTTCACGGAAGTGAAAGGGGGTTAGAAAAAGACAAAAAGTAGCCTATGATACTCTCCATCTTTTCAACTATCTCAAATCAAAAACCTTCCTGACTCCGTTCTGTCGTGAAATACGGACAAACAAACAAACAAGCACATACAAATTTATATTATTAGTATACATTTCTTAAGTCATCTGACATTTGCGTGACAAGGGAGTTTACAAAGTCAATGTGTCATAGATTTTTTTTATACTATGGTATTAATATTAAGGTATGCAAAGAGGTTGACAGCAGTGTAAGGAGATAAAACCACGAATAAAATATTTTCAGTTTACTTGAATTCGTATTTTTTTATATGTATATCAAAAAAACTAACTAATTGCACATAGCTAAAAAATAATATTAGTCCTTTTCATTTTAGACCGTCAAGCCCAAATTCACTATGACAGTTTGCTGTTTTTTTATGGCATAAGCCGGTAAACGAGCAGACGGATCACCTGATGGTAAGCAATCTGCGCCGCCCATAGACACCTGTAACACCAGAAGTGCTAGAAGTGCGTTACCGGTTTTTTGGGAATTGGTAATTTGAGGATTGTCAGGGATTGGGGAGGCTGGGGGAGGGGTTTTTTTTTTTTTTTTTTTTTTTTAAGGGGGGAAAATCATCGAATGACTGCTCCCGCCTGGGTGAGGCGGAAGGGAGTGTCAGACTCTTACTGACTAAAAACCACCCCGTTCCTTCTCCTGCACGTCGAGCCGGAGCCCCGGTTACCCGTTAGGTTCTCCGCGACTGCCTTAAAGAGCCATAACACCATCATAGATGGAGCCCAGTAGGGCTGATGCTCGATACGGTGCCGCGGGAGGCGCGAGTTGACGGGGCTCCGGCTCGACGAGCAGCAGTAGGAACGGAGTGGATTTTAGTCAGTAAGAATCTGTCACTCCCTCTCACCTAACCCAAGGCGGGAGAAGTGATTGGATGATTTTCCGACCTCAAAAAAAAACTCCTTTAGGTAATGACAACCCGATGTGTGAAAAACTACCAAAAAAACTCCTTATATTATTGGTATTGATTAACGCACGTCGCACCGGTACATATCAGGTCACATTATAGGAGAGAGGAAATCCCAAAATGACGGAAACTATGCGCTAAAAACCAGGACCAAGGACGTTGAAATAAAGAGGGGCTCTTACCTTTTAAACCATTGAACCTATTTGGTGAATTTCGGTACAGCGTTAGTTTGAGACCCGGGAAAGGACATCTAAAAGTTTTTAACCCGAAAAACCCACGAAACCGGGAACTGTGCTGTTAAAATCACTATATCTATTTGATTGAAATGCGATACAACATTGATTTGCAAACATAGAATAGTGAAACCTCACGAGACGGGCACTGTACGGGTAAAACCTCAATGGGATTGTTTATTTTAGAAACCACGAAAATAAATATAACCTAGGTACTGAATCGATTGTGATGATATTTGTTCCAGTTGTACAGCCGTAGGATATACCTTGACAAAGACTAATTTAACAACCCAATTTATACAGAAGTCGCTATTTCACGCGGACGAAGTCGCGGGTAACAGCTAGTATTAAATAAGGTAACAAAGTAATATGAGTACCTACTAAAATTATGCCATAACCATTACTGGTTTTATGGACGATGTTTACTCCGCTCTTCTCTCTTAACTTGCAATGTATGACTGAATAAATTTAAATGTATAATTGGTCGTATTATCATAGGCATTTGGTTTTAGTGTCTTCTTTTTCTGTCAGGCGCCAAATTCCGGAATTGACGAATAAACATGGCTACATACCGGCTGTCCAATTTCAAAACCTAATATCTGACAAATCTTAAAAAAATGTGTTTTTGCATTTTTCGACCTTATAGACCACCTCTCCACATACTAGGATAGCAAAAACAAATCAAATTTTGAAATCACTCCCAAGAAGATACGACTGTCAAAGATATGAAATCATTTTTCGGCTCTCCTGTAAAATTTGGTTTTATGCAGATACTGGGTTTTGATATTTCACAGCGGATACATTCATACGTACATACATACATATTGAATGTCGTGGTTTTATTTACCGAAAGGTAATAAAAAATATAGATGCTTAATTTTCCTTTTACTCGACCCGGTGATAGAATTTAAGCCCTCATGCATCTCCCCTTATCTCTATCCCTTTCTACGATCTCCAAATACCAGAATTATTGAATATATAGATAACTGTTTACAGCATACAGGTTGTTCGATATAACTAAAACGGTCGATGAATACAAATTGGTATTTTAAACCAATTCTTTAAAATATCTTTCATCTTTTTGTTATCTGTTAATTTTGGAAATGTTCGGCAGTGTTCGTGTGTACTTCGTGTTTTATCGGCCCTCGAATCATGAAATAAGAAATTAAATAATTATGTATAGAGAAAGTTAATCTTACGATTTCCGAGTCGGGCAAAGTTAGCTTTAAAAAAAATCTCAGTAGTAGCACGGAGTCTGGAATTGTGCCCGGTATATGGCAATAGACTCACCCCCTATTACATGGGACTCATAACATAAATAGTGAAAAGTGGGTGTTACATTGTACAGGGGTATAATGTGTACCTCTGCCTCCCCTTCGGGGATAAAAGGCGTGATGTTATGTTATGTAGCTGAATATTTATAAATAATATCACATGAGGAAATAATTAAAGTACTATATAAGCAGAAAGTGACCTCTAGCTACCCCCTTCATAGAACAAAATGTTTCAACATTCGTATAATAATCAATTTTCAATTCCAATAATCGCAAAACGATTGCAAGAAATCGATATAATAACTTTAACTTATTACATTAATCAATTTGATTATAACCTTATACTGTTACACAAATTGCATTATTATTTACTAATAATAAGACTATTATTACATGCGACTGAACCGCCAATTATTATTTTTTAATCCTATAATAGTGCGCATACAGTTTCGTGTATTTTTCGTAATACGTGTATTATTGTAATAATGATATCGATTTCGTTAATAAGACCTTGTATTAGTGTTTAAAATGATTTGGTAATTGGAATTATAGTGTGAAGAATGTTTTTAGAACGTTAAAATATTTGTTCCCTTATTTGAAACTTCAAGCTCATTTACCTTCAATTAATTTTTTGCATACTTATTTCATATACAACAAATTTGGTGTGCTTTGATATAAAAAATAACATACAAGGAGGACTGATAACCAATACGGGTCGCGGAGGACTTAACGGGTTGCCAGGGCTACGGCTCGAAGAGCAGGAGTAGGAACCGGGTGATTTTTAGTCAGTAAGAGTCTGACACTCCCTCCCGCCTCACCTCACCCAAGCCGGGGAGAAGTCATTGGATGATTTAAAGAAGTCGCACAACTAAAAATCGCTAGAAATAATAATCACAATATGTTTTTATAGGTACATGGCAATCGAATTTACATGGTAAACAGCGTTAAAATATTTAAATAAGAAATGCATAGGTGGACCTATCTTCAAGTATACGTACATTGAATAGTCATGTAGGAGAGCCATGCTTCGGCACGAATGGGCTGGCTCGACCGGAGTGATACCACGGCCTCACAGAAAACCGACGTGAAGCAACGCTTGCGTTGTGTTTCGTCGTGTGAGTGAGGTTACCGGAGGCCCAATTACCCCCTAATCTCCTGAATCCCCGAATCCTCCACAATCCTCAAATTCTCAATTCCCAAAAGGCCGGTAACGCACTTGTAACGCCTTGGTGTTCCAGGTGTCCATGGGCGGCGCTGATTGCTTACCATTAGGTGATCCGTCGGCTCGTTATCGGCTTATGCTATAAAAAAAGTAATACATTAATAATAATACTATGTCACATTTTTTAATCCCCGTAGGTAGGGCTAGAAGTATAAAATGTAACACTCACTTTTTAACAACTGGATATTTTATGAGTCCCATGTGGTAGCGATAGTGGTGAACTTATGTAGCCATGCCATGGGCACATAAGTGGCAAACGCCATGTTGCTACTGAGTTTTCGAAAATTAATAAACCCAAACAGTAGGTTATAGTGTCGTTGTGGCTCGGAGATCTAGGACGCCCACTTCTCATGCATTAGGGTGCCACTTTGAAACCTACCAACTGCAAATATCAATGGTACTTTTTCCGAGTTATGTACCTTCTAAGATTATTTAGACATCACTGACCAGAAAGAAAACGTCTTTAGGAAACCTGAACTGATAATTTCTAATTTTAAGTTTGAAATCGCCAACTCGCATTGAGAAATCGTGGTGATTATTGCTCAAAAACCTACTCCGTGTGAGAAGAGGCCTTTGCTCAGCACTGGCTACTTATAGGCTGTTGATGATGTGAAATAATAGGTATCCATTGTATCCAATCCAGAAATAATGTTCAATACATTCAATGTTATACAAATATACAAGGTGTAGTTTATAAGCCGTGTCATTTCTCGGGGATATATCACAGAAGTCATAAAGGTTCAATGTAAGAGAAAATTCCGGACCAATAGTTAAAAATACGGCTATAATAAATCGTTTAAGTTCGCAGTATTTCAGAATAAGCGAGAGCAATGTTTCTTATTGGAGTTTTATGGAATTAGGAATAATATCAATTACGTGTTTGAGTTTGTGTGTGTTAAGCCGCGTTATAAAGCTAGTTACAAGACGGCGGCGTGTACTTCGCACTTACGGATTTCCGTAATTTCAGAAAAATGAAAAATATTTACTTACATTTTTTTATTGATTCGGTCTCAGAATCGATATCTGAGTTACCTCCTAGAAAATGACGCGGTTTTAAAACAACACCTTGTATGTTTAGACTTTGACACCTTCAACGGCAGTCGCACTTCTACCACTCGGTCTATGAAACGACAATTTTAATTATTTTAGTAACTTAACCCCAATTTTTTTCTTTTTCAGAGTGCCATAGTCGGTTCGCGAGTGACTCTGCCATGCCGTGTGGAGAACAAAGTGGGGCATCTACAATGGACCAAGGACGACTTCGGGCTAGGGACCAACCGCAACCTGAGCGGATACGAACGGTACTCCATGATTGGGAGCGACGAAGAAGGTAACTATATTTTTTGCTAAATATTTTAGTATTAAAGATTGGCAAGGTACTTGTAAGTCCTTTGGTGGCGCCGGTATCCTAAAACCAATTCCATCACTTATGATAAAGTGATCTGTGTGCTCTCTTGAATCCACGAAAATAGACGTTACGAGTTCCATGTAATAGGGCAAGCCTATTACTCTTTAACGGCCTAAACTTTAAGGTTTACATATGCTGATTTCAAGCACGAAAGCATGGTTTAATTGAACACTTGTCACTTAGTAGCATGTGTGTCGGAATAAGGCCATTCGTCAACCTATCTCGTATAAAAAATATGTTGCTCACAATTTAAGTGTGGGAGATCCACGCTTCGGCACGAATGGGCCGGCTCGACCGGAGTGATTCCACGGCCTCACAGAAAACAGACGTAAAACAACGCTTGCGTTGTGTTTCGTCGTGTGAGTGAGGTTACCGGAGGCCCAATTACTCCCTTCCCCAGTCTCCCCAATCCCCGAATCCCCCACAATATTCAAACTCCTAATTCTCAAAAGGCCGGTAACGCACTTGGAACGCCTCTGGTGTTTCAGGTGTCCATGGGCGACGCCGATTACTTACCATCAGGTGATCCGTCTGCAATTTACCGGCAGTAGTATCTCATAAAAAAAATTAGCATGCTCATTTCGGGCTTGCTTGCGAATCGACTGGCGTTCGAGTTTTGACCATTTTTAAGAATGCTCAATAGAACGCTTTTTAGCATGCTATTTTAGACGATGTGTAACAGTACTTTTAAAGTCTGCCCATTTAAAATAGCTTCAATTTAATAAAATTTTGTTTGAAAATGAAAAATCCCAATAAATTATGTTTTTGGTGTCGACATCTATCCCGAGACCAGTTGTTTGGTTTTCGCTTGTGGCTACGTAGCCAACGAAACAATTCTCAGTTCAACTTTTACGGCCTCGAAACCCACGGAATCAATGGCAGAGGACAAAGTACCATTTTCTTTTTCCAAACAAACTTTCAAAACAAAAACTATAACTTTACATTTTCAGTAAAAACTAAAAGTTTCTCGGAAAAACGTCGTTTATTAAGATTCATGCTGTTTTCGCCTTAAAATATATTAAAGTAAGAAAGATTTTAGCGTAAAACTTTTGTTTTTTATTGCATTAAAAGAAAACATTTGTGTCGGTCATCGCTACGCATTTTTGTTATGACTCAGAATGTAAATAAAAACGCACTTTTCACACAGCAACGAGAATAAATAACGTGTTTTGAACTGTGTATTGAAGGAGATAGATTCTAAAATTGAATGTCGGGTCATTGTTGTGATTGCACACGAATATTTTTCAATACCAAAGTCTCTTATTGGATTATTTGAATATTACATAACATTGAGCAAATTTTGCTGACGATAACCCTTGACAACATTGACGATAACCCTTCGATTGGTGTCTTCTGTGCCTGCCAAGACATTAAAGAGAGCTGATATGTTACCTACCTGGGGGTCGTCTGCAGATGAAAGTCACTCCAAACGTCATTTGGCCTTCAACTTATTTGCTCATAGTCTAGCGACTGATAAAAAACTTAAAAACATAAAAAAATCAACAACATAGATTGCTTATATATAATCTTAAACTTTGTCTATACTTGTAAATACTAACGAATTTGTCTGTGCTACTGAAATACAAATATCTTACGAATTAATCTAGGTCATGGCATTTACACCAAATTATATCTGAATCCATTTCATAGCATTTTTATGTGAGGAAATAAAAAAGACATTTCTATCTATTTGTACCAACTTTCCGCTATTCTAGTAATAGTAGTATTTTAATATTACATAATTACTCACAAAATTCTAGATTTTTTGGCACGAAAACCTAGTGTAAAAACTAAAGCTAGCAAGATATTTTAGGCGAATTACTAGGCACGATTATATTTGGGCTAGGTGATTGAAAAAAGTTGGAAGACTTGAAATATATCATCTGTTTTTGACGGTACAGGCAGAGATGTACAATCATAAATCGTAATACTAATAAAGAATTATTCATCATCATCAACAGCATATAAGTGCCTACTGCTGAGGAAAGCCTCTTCTCACACGAAGAATGTTTGAGGATTAATCACCACGCTTGCTCAATGTGGGTTGGTGTTATCAAATTTATAATTAGAAATTAAAGCCAAGGTTTCCTCACGATGTTTTCCTTCAACGTTTGTCAGTGGTGTCTGAATAATCTTAGAAAGTACATATAACTCGGAAAAAGTCACATTGGTACTTGCCGATTAAATGTTATAACAAGATACCAAGCGATATACAGCACCTAAATGAAATGAAGTTTAAATTATGTATAAAAAAAACTTTATGTAGACAAGCATATTACAAAATTAATGATTATATAGAAGATAAAAATGCTTGGATGCACGCTGGTCCAGCTCCACGGGATAACGAAAAACATTGATGTGTCAATGAAATTCAACCTAAATATTACAACGTAGTTGCTTAAATGTATATGGTTTAACTTGCATAATCATTGTTAATGTGACAGCCCTGTAATTAACTAAATATTAAATTGGACTAGTAGAATGCATTTATGTCAGCTTGGAGTTGTCATGTTCACTCAAAGATCGAATTGGCGGTGGCACGTGCATTGGGTCGCTAGATTCCCTGCAATATGGTTGAGTTGGGCGGTGCTGGTGTACGTGTCATGTTCGTGAACGGGCGCCGTCAACTGTGACTGGTCAGCTCCAGACTGTATTATTTATTGTCTTTAAGGGTTATTTTCTTTTTCGATCTCTTTGGCTAGATTTGGTGTTACATTGTTCTCGCACAATCAAACCAATAAAACTGTGTAGGTAACTGAAGAATTGTATTGTGAAACTGATTGGAAAAGAGTAACCTATGGAGTTTCTTGCTCGTTCTTCTCCATAGGAATCTACACCTTGGAATGAGCAAATAGCTTCATTTTTAAATTTCTATTGCTGACGTTCAAAAGTGCCTTCCTGGTCTAATTGAAATAAATGATTTTTGACTTTTGACTTTGACTTTTGACCGTTGGTAGGTTTCGAACCCACACCCTCATGCATGAGAAGTGGGCGTCTTAAACCTTTGACACCTCCGGGTAACCCCGCGAAAAATCATTAGTATAGCTAAAAATGCAAAAGAAAATTGCATTAATCCAAAAATGATGATTGGCGGTACAAGTTAGCTTCAATGACGCATTGACTGTCAGACTATTATTTATTTTGTACTAGCTTTTACCCGCAGCTTCGCTCGCGTCACAAAAAGATAAAAAGCCAATGTGACATATACCAATACACACAGCGCCATCTATACCAATACTTTTGTTTTCCCTCGGGAATATCAATTTTTTCCGGGATAAAAAGTACCCTATTATTTAATCCGGACTTCTAACTATACATCTGCAAAAATTCAAAGCAATCGGTTAAGTAGTTACGGCGTTAATGTGGAACAAACAAATAAACAAACAAACTCACTTTCCGATTTATAATATTCGTAAGGATTTGTTGCAAATGTACTAAATTATGGTTTAATTAAAATACCTATTTAGGGAATAGTGAACAGGGAACAGTAGTAAACCACCATCATATACAATGTGTAAAAGGTTATCAAAACCATCGTACCTACCTGTACAACGAGCTTTCCACATCTAGCGACCTTCCTAACGAACCAGGAAAGTATGAAATCAATACTCTTTGTTATCTCTACCTCTATATAAATAAATATCCGTGTTCCGTTGATTCTCATTAAATGAGGACTCTGGGAATTTCTATTTGTAGCGAAACATTTTATATGAAAACATGTATTGTGACAATAATAATATATATTTATCTTGCACATAACATAACATCACGCCTTTTATCCCCGAAGGGGTAGGCAGAGGTGCACATTATGCCGCTGTACAATGTTACACCCACTTTTCACTATTTATGTTATGAGTCCCATGTAATAGGGGGTGAGCCTATTGCCCTACACCGGGCACAATTCCACTCCCGTGCTACTACTGAGAATTTCTAAAAACCCAGTAATACTTTGCCCGACCCGGGAATCGAACCCGAGACCCCTTGCCCGGCAGTCGCACTTGCGACCACTCGGCCAACGAGGCAGCAACGAGGAGATATTTATCTTGCTTTGTTTTTTTTTATGGGGTAAACGAGCTGACGGATCGCTGGCACTCATAGACACTTGAAACACCCGAGGTATTACATGTGAGTAAGGCCTTTTGGGGATTAGGAATTTGAGGATTGTTGGAGATTCCGGGGATTGGGGAGATTGGAGAGGGCTTGAAACATTGTGGCGATAGCAGAGTAGAATATTTATATCCACTGCTACTCTTTTCACGGGTGGCATAAGCACAGATCTAGAGTCCCCATACACAACAGAGACATCACTCTTTGATAAACTAAACTTTGATAAACCTTTTCTGAACCAAAATCATTTATTTCAATAAGGCCAGGAATGCGCTTTTGAACGACAAATAAAAAAAATATCAGTCTGTTGGCCAGTCTTCTCGTAAAGCTCTTTGCTCGTTCTGAAGTGTCCTTTAAGGACGCCATACACGCTAGGTTATGCATGATGGTTATAACTTTGCATGCAATGTTTCATTCTTATAGAAGCAGTAATTTTTACCATTGAAAACTAATACAATTTTTAGATTTTCTTCTTTGATCTAGTATCGAATAAATCGACTGAAAGATTGAGCGATTGATCGTTTGATGTTTCAGTGTTTCACGGATATTTTTAGATATTTTATCATAACGTGTGATTTAAAGTACCTACCTATATGATTTTATAGTTTGATAATCACCTCAAAAAAACTTGGCATTTATGCTGATCATGACTGCCTTGTTGGTCATCAATGGTTTAAACCGCCAATGTACCTACTGATCATAAACCTTTTGATTTAATTCCCAACTCGAACAAATTATTTACGAAATAAGTGTTTATAATTACCAGCATAGAGTTTAGAATAAATCGGTAATTCGTTGAACATGACTAGACCTGA